AGCCCAAAGCAACCAGCTGTGAGCTAGAAATAATGTGTGTGCAGGCCAGGAGGATGTTCAGGGACTGAGACCACATTAACCTTTCAACCAAAGACCTGGATCAGCCTCTGATTCAGAGGTGCGAGCCTCTGAAATGGAAGAAACTACAGTATTTATCACAGAGCTTGAATATTACCTTGGGCTTATAAGACCTTTACCCAGACAGGTCAACAGGGAGCTTCCTCTTCCAACAGGAGAGAAAACTGAGTAGGTCAGGGAAAGAGCCAGAATTCCAAACTAGAGTTATGACTCTGAACCCAGTGCTCTTTCCATTCTCTACCAGACCCCAGACAATTCAATGGAACGCGTAACTCCAGAAAAGAGCCAACTTGGATGAGAAAATGTTGAAACGGGATCGTGTCCATCAAGATGGCTTGCATAGCTGTTTTCCATTCATTTAAGGCTAAGTAAGCTTGCTAGTAAAATCCTCAGCCCCTCAAACAGGGAGGAGTCATTCACAGATGCCCGGGAGCTGATCTCCAGAACCAAAGGAATGCGTGGTAGGGGGCCAGCTGAGTTCTGTTGGACCAGGAAAGAACACTGCTTTAGGGCTTCGTCCAACTTGAGATCTAAGAAGACTGATTGCCGCCAGAGGCCTGATTGATGTCATCTGCTGAAGGACTTGGCCTCCCACTCCCCACATAAGCTTGAAGACCAACCCGTCACCATATGCAAAGAGGAAGGACCCAGCTCTCTGCCTACCCAAAACTTCCACCAAAAAACCAAAAAACAAAAGAAGTCTGGGAGCTACAAAGCCAAGACTCTTGTAAGGAACACACCAATGTCTTCCTTACCTACTTATCTTCTTTTCCATCTTTTATCTATTAAAATTTTATTTTTACAGTCTTTAGCTTTGACTTGCTTGCATTTTGACATAGCTTAAAATATTTCATCATTTGGAATTTGTTCTGATCCTCTTCCTATGTTTTATCATCTTTATATCTTTAACCTTTGAAACTTACCAGTATTTTTTTGTGCTTATCCTTGAAGCTAATCTATTCTCAGCCATTTAACATTTATTTAGTATTTTTTTCTGAAAAAAACTATTTTGTATTTCTTAAAACATTTCCTTATTTAGTTTAAGTCATTTTAACTCTATCTCTGAAATATTTGTTTTCTTTTTTTATTTCTTTATGATTCTCATTTTATCTCTTCTGCTTCACCTTTTCAATATTGCTCTACTTTCTCAGTTTTCTAAATGTGTGCTTTTGCCTCATTAATACTAATACTTTAAATTGTAACCTCTTTTTCATTTTTAGCTTTTGAAATTAGTGTTCCTTTCAATTTTTCTGTTTATCTTGTATTCTGGTTTCTTTCCATTGGATACCAATGTCCAATCCTATAGTGAAAAGAATCATTTATTACCATCAGAAGGGGCTTTAGTCTTTTCCCACAGTTTGAGGCAGGTATTTGTGAATGTTAACCCTGACCCCCACCCACTGGGAGGTAGGTCAGAAGCATACGCTAGCCTTCTCTTGTTTGGCCAACCATTTTTTCAATCATTCCACTTTTAGTCATTCCACAGCCATTTTTTCAACCATTTGAGCCATTCCATTTAGATAAAGTGACACTCTTATTATAGCTGTAACCGGAACTCAGAAAAATGCAACTGAGAATAAAGATTTATCTGCCATAAATAAAAGTAAGCAAATAAAAGCACTGATCTTCACTTTCAGGAAATCTCAATTTGAGCCTTGACTTTGCCACTAATTCTCCAAGTAACCTGGGGGAGTCGTTTGATTATCATGGACACCAGTTCCCTCCTTTTTAAAAGGAGAGTGTTAGATTA